AGCTATTTTTGATATAGGCCTACTATGCAACAGTCCACGCTTTCTGGTATTAATATTTTTTACAACTGAAAGTGATAAGGTAAAGAATTTTAATTAGTTGATTGACAAGTTGGCATCTCTGAAGACTAAGAAAGTAAAATTTTAAACTGTAAAGTTTAATATTTCAATAAAAAGTAATTTTGTTGCATTTTTTAAACCTCATTGTCATAACCTACAACTCAAACATTATATTTTCTTCTTATGGGTTTTTTCCGTAATTTACAAACGATACTATGCTCGATTCTGTATGGAGTCTGATTAAGAATGACTCGGTGGAGGTCCGGGTGGGAGTAGGGACCAACCCCCATTTCTTGCTCTGCCGCTACTTTGGGGGGCCTTGGGCTTTTCTGCTTTGTCAATTATATTCTCGGTTCCTTTTATTTAAATATATATATATATATATATATATATATATATATATATATATATATATATAATTTTTTGTTTTGTCTATTATATTCTCTGTTTCTTTTATATATATATATATATATATATATATATATATATATATATATATATATATATATATATATATACATCTCTTTTTTAATAATAACGAAACGTGATTCTATACCACGGTTAAATAAAAGTTAAAGTTCTGTCTGCCCCACTGCTTGTATCAAGCAGATGATAATTCAAGGAAGCTGTTTAAACAAACTGTGTCACTGGCCCCTGGCTAGGTCTCATTGATCACCATTGATGTTGTGAAAAAGGGGGGGGGGCAGATGACCCCTGGCGCCATATTCCTCCTCCTCATGTCTCCTAGTCCTTGGACCATTGGGGCGCCACAGATGACATGTGAACCATCCTCCTCCATTCCTCTGTCTTCAGCACTACGCACTGCCCAGTGTTAGTCCTGTCCACTCTTTGATGTTATCCTCCCACCTTTTTCTTTGTCTTCCTCTTCTTCTCCCTCCTCTTGTGGTGCCCTGTAATATTTCTTTGGCAAGCCCTTGTTTCCTTGTTACGTGGCCGTACCATTGTAATTTGCGTTTTTTCAGTCACCAGTAGGTCATCGTACTCCCCAATTGCCTGACGAACCCTTTCTTTCACTGTATCATTGGAGATATGCGCCAGATTAGGGATGCCAATATGGACAGTGATATGTTATTGATGAAAAAAGAATGTGGTGGGGGGGGGGGGGTATAAAATGGAATTTGTTCCTTGGGTTCCAAACACTCTAGCTACTACTCTGCTTACCTCGCAAAAAAGATAATCCGACCCTGACTAAAACTGTTCCATTTAAAGAAAATTATTGAAAGCCAACAGCAAGCGAGCACTATAAAAATATAAAAAAATAAAGTAGGCCTATGTCAAATATAAATTTGTACAGTAACCACTGAAAAAAATGAATATTCTATCATCGGATCCAGGGGAGGAGGGAAACTGTGCGAAATTAAATGGGAACCATCAGAACCTCTCAAGAGGGCCTCAAATTTACACAAATATTAGGTACTTATATATCTGGTCTTTGTTGTTGACGTATGAATACTAATGAATGGCTAATGGAATTTACAATTAATTTTAGTGATCATGCTCATGTTATACCAAAAAAAAAATTTGTGTGTGAGGGGGGATGGGGGAGACCCTTTTGAAAAGTTAAAAAGTTATGTAAACAGTTTTGAGTTTTAAAATAATGTTATGTGTAAAATTTAAAGTGATTTGACTTTTATCTTTGCCCGATAATATTAAAATGCCTGTCAAGACAAAGTAATTCCTGTATTTTGAATCACGAGTATAGTATAATAACAAAGTCATAAATTATGAAGTCAAAGTCAATTATTGTAACGATAAAGTAAACAAATATTGTGAAGCCATGAGTAAGACAAATTCACACAAAAAAATCAGGAACAAAAACCGACAATAATATAAAAGTCAAGAGTAGAACAAGAAAGTAAATGGTCTTGTGCCAGGAGTGATGGTCATACACTTGTACCATCTTCAAAGGTCTCCATATTTCTATCCTTACAGAACCCTTCACTGACAGACAGCAGATCTACAGACAAATTCAATAAAAAAATGTAAAAATTCTTATTTTTAACTAAATAAAAATTTATTTAATAGATTTGTATAACATGCAAAAAAAAAAAAATTAATTTAATTCGTACTCAGGACATCCACAGTCAGAACTTATTAGCTTAATAATGCTATGGCACTAGGAGCAGACACACATAAAATGTATTATTCTAAAGCAGTGGTTCTCAAACTGTTTTCACCTGAAGACCAGTGAAAATAGGGAGAGAAAAAAAATTACGAACCGCCAAAGCAGAAAGTTAAACAAATTTTAATAGTATTTTCTGCATTAGATTATAATGTAGGCAATTAGAATACCCAAAAACTAAACAGTTAAAACTGTAACAGTACAAATAGAAATTTTGAGATGGCAGTTTTGATATTAAATTAAGGTTCTGATAAAAATCCACTTCCAGCAGAATCCAAGTGTTAAAAAGCAATAACTTTTCTGTCGACAGGGCAGTAGAGTAAAACCATTGCTCTAGAGACATCAAATCCTTTGTATCTAAAATGAACATTTTGTACTTGCATAGGATAAAATGCTGCAATATATTTTTGGCAAAAACTTATGAACGTTAAAATCAATACCGGGAATAAGAATGTTGCAGTACCAAAAATTGATACTCGAGCCGTTTGGCTGGATTCCTATGATCTCCTGACTGATCAACACATGATAAATACTAGAAATCAATATTTAAATATATAATAGTAATAGGTAAAAATGGAATGGACTTCTGTATAGCACACATCTGTGCTCTGAGAAAGAATACAATGTAGCTGTTTGAAAGACTGCATCTGAGGTACCTCCTTTAACCTCTGACCACTGTGGCTGTCACTGTCATATGTGCAGCTCTTACTGCCAACTTTAATGTTTGACAAATAACATTATTTTATGTCCTATATACATTTCATGCAGTTGCCCATATGAAAAGTTCTAAGAATATTTTTTGTTACAACAAATATTGTATATAATACATTATATACTGGAAATAAGCCCCAAACAATGGTGGCGGCAATGCATGAACTTCCAGTTTACTAAAGTAACTTGACAAAGCATGAAATCAAGTTTAACACTTTATAAGAATCCCAATTAGTGCTAACTACTGGGAATTTTATTTTGCGCACACATTAAACACAGCATTTTAACCACCCATACATGCAGACCTAGAGAATTATTATTTTTCATAGACCAAATATCAGCTGATTTTTTAAAAAAATTCTCAGGATTTAAATAATGCAGAAAAATATTTTTAAAAAAAAAAATACATATTTTGAATACAAGAAGTAATTGTTGAATTACCAAAGCATGATTGCATTCTATTTCTTACCACAATACATAGTTTTTATTACAGCTGAAGACATTCACATGTTACACAATTACATTTTCTTCAGAAAATGATTTTATATGGTTAAAAATAGTTATAAACAAGCATAAAATGTTTGTTGGAAAGCAGGAACAGGCTTTGGAGAAAAACTAGCACAATTCCAATATAATATAACCTTAGAATTAGAATGGATTTAAAAAAACAAAACGATTTGTACAGAATTTTTAAAATACATAAACTGATTTTTAAAACGCATTCCATTATGCCTTAAGTAACCTTCAAAGGGATTTGTTCAATATTTCTTTAAAGTTTTAAAAATATATATAAAATATAATGAAAAATCAAAACTTAAAGTTCTAATGCTGCTGCCTATATCATACAGTTTTGATTTGTATTTTGCATAAACTATCATGTAAGCCATTGTAAGTAACAAATTATAAGCATAAAATTCATGTCCTTGTAAACAACACATAGATACTGTTAAATATGTTATTCATTGTTCGTTATTGAAGACAAATGGCCATTGTCTTAAAGTTGATTAACAATTTGTTTAAAACATAATAAGATTAATAAAAAGATACTACAAAGTGTTAATGGTATGGATTTCAGTAATAATCTTCCTTTTAAAGTAAAACATTGGACCAGTTGTAATATTAACATGGTATTGATTAAATATGTTACAGCAAATGCATGCCAATCTGTTTTCTTTTTTCATTAGTGGCATGAATGGAACAAAATATTAATTCTTAACACCAGGGCATAGATAATTAAGTCATTATGTGATCCGCAAAGTCTGACGGCAAAGATATAAACTAGTGTGTCACCCACTACCTTGAGGCCACCTGGGGCAAAAATTTAATGTGAATATTTAAAAAAGCTTTAGTATGTATTGACATTTTTTTAATTTGCCTGGTGCCCAATGGATGGAAATTTTATTCTGAACACTTTCATTTCTACGTTTTCATATAAATATGGAAAAATGAACAAGTAATTCTTTGTAAAAAAAAAGGTAATAGAAATGACATATTGAACCAGTTACTAAATGATTTCGTATAAATCTCAGTGAAAGACCTGTTTAAAAGTAACATTGAATTATGTGCAAAAATCAAGAAAAACAAAATATTAAGATAAAGATCATATACAAGTAATTCCCCCTTGTCCTACTAACAAAGTCACGCCACCTTGTTCTAATGAAACTTTCCCTTAAAAGATTTATGTTTTCTTGTTAAAAAAAGCAACAAAACAAGGTTAGTATACACAAGAAAAGTTACCAGTATTAATTAATCATCATTTACAATAAAGGCACATCAAAGGTTGGAAGAAAAATCATAAGCAACTAATGAGACCATCTTTTAAAATTAAAAAGCCATGACATTAACAATTCCATAAGAAAACTCTGCTTAGTGATGGGCAATGGACACAAAATTTTTTATTCTTTTTGAGAATGAAGGGAAAAACAAGCTTTGTCAAGTACCAGGTAACATAAACAAAAAAAAAAAATTATTTGCCAGTAAAAATAATAGTAAAAATTGCTTTAATGTTTTTAAATTGATAATTTAACTAAGTCAACTTAAGAATTATTTAAGGCTTTAAAAAAATTATAAGTTGAAACAAAACACAATTGAACATTTTATTTTTAAAAGCAATCACAAATATTGGTACTCAAAGGAAAGTTTTTAACAAAAGCTATTTTTAGCAGCTAAATAGAATAATATGAGTTAGGAAATTATGACAGAAATTTTGGTCTGGCCTCAATTTACAGCACATGCCATCAATCAAAATTGATCATTGATCAATCATCAAAATAAGTCTAATTAACATTAACCCACGACTTTCTCATTCTGTACTGTGGCGGCTGAAAAAAATCAGCCGATAAAAACACGGTCTGATAGCAACTTCCAATCCAATATTTAACCGGAATTATAGCCACTTTCTTTTATTAATAATTAAATCATCTTCCGGTTCAAGCTGTTTCGTGGTAACTTGAAAATAAATACTTTTTAAACGGAGTTTTATATCGCTGTTTTTTTTTTTTAAAGCTAAAATGGTTGAAGCCATGGCTGGGCCTTCAGTGCGAGAACTAATAGAAATATGTTTGAAAGCTTTTTAGGAGAGGTTTTAAGTGATACTGGTGATGATTTTAACATTCTCCATGACGAAATCAGTTGAGATTATTCTTCTCGTGAATTTTATACTAGTCTTAGTGATACTGAAGTAGGCTACTGTTAGACTTCGAGCCAGGCCAGGAGGTTGGGTAAGGACTGACTGAATTTTAGTCACAGAAGCTACAGGTTATAGTTCAGAACTAATAAATTTTATAGTTAACCCAAATCAGTTCCACAGTTCCTTTTTAAATGTTTACTAGTCAATAATAACTATTTTGCCTGAGGGGTCTTGTATCAATATTTCTATGTCATTTAATGCAATTTTAAATGGCACTCAAAACGCTCTGAATAGCTCCACACCACAGAATGATGCATGCCACAGTTCGTGGGTTAACTGAAAAATAATCACCTAGGCACATTTTTTAATATAAAAATTTTAGCCTATGAAATTTGACCACAGAAAACATCCTCCCAGGTCATAAAATTACTCCTGCAGCTTAGGTTTATCTTCCTTAGCTTTTTCAATTGCAAAAATGCAGATTGAACATTTAAAAAAAAATTATCTTTCAAGACTACTTGAGAGAAAAAATATGAATATTCTAGTACCAGTATCAAGAATACAATAAACGTTTTAAAAATTTATTTTGTTACCATGTATAAATTATTACCCAACAAAAAACAAATTACCCTAGTACTGTAAGACACAATCACTGGCCTGCCTACTGAAACCTATTGATAATGTCTCTAGTACTTTACCAAACTGTTTTTTAACAATTTCTCTCAACAAAAACATAATCCATAACATCATCGGTCTCCCCGTGCCTTCTTCGCTTTAATTTCTCTAGGCCATCTTCCAAGAATTTCTTTGTTGTTGAAAAACTTGGTATAGCTGTAGCCAATATAAGCTGAATGTTGACCTGGTTCAGAATCTGCTCAACACGTGAAGTTATTACATCATGAACATAGCAGGCCCCTTTGAGTTTTACTTCAGTACCTGAGGGCCGTATTAACTTCTTTTCCTGTAAGAAAATAATTAAAAATAGAATAATCCTAGACACTATTGGGAAATATTAACATTCTGCACCAATACAAGTACTACCAGTACAATTTAATATTTGTACGAATTGAGTCCATCCAATATTTGATTTGTACCACTACTACTAGGACACATTAATATTGGATGACACTATTCGTAGCACAACTAGAAAAATGTAATATTGGATTGCCATTCTTTGAGCCACTACTAGCACAATTTAATATTGGACAGATACATTTTTGTATCACTACTAGTACAATTTAATATTTGACAGACACATCTATGTACCAGTACTAGAACAATTTAATATTTGACAGACACATCTATGTACCAGTACTAGAACAATTTAATATTTGACAGACACATCTATGTACCAGTACTAGAACAATTTAATATTGACGAACACATTTTGTACCACTACTTTAATTTTGTAGAATAACTTATATCATATTGCGAAATTGGAACAAAACTTTTCTATTACAGCAAAATTGAAATTAAACATTTTCTACCACTGCTGGTATGACGCTCGAATGAGATGTTTTAGTACATTAATAAGTGTAGCTCTAATTTAGAAATGACACATTTTGTATTACTAGTAGTAGATGACAGACACGGTAAGTCTTATTTAATTGGTTACATAAATGAGGTTAAATCAAAAGCTCTGAGACTGTATTTGCTGTGGCTTTACCATTTACCAAATACAATCATGGGGCTGAGGGCCACTGCTTTCTAGCTTCCTGAATTAGTGTGTTGAGTTGGGTAGCTCCATCAACACACATGTAGTGGTTCAACATGTTATGTGATCTGCTATCTTATAATAGCTGCTTAATTAATAAAGTTTCAACAAACATTAAGCGGAGTAATGGTTTTTCAAATGACATGTATTTTAAGGTCAGTTGAGAGTCAAATTGTTACCGATATACCTTAAGGGGATACAACTTCCTTCAATAGCTTACCTTCATATTTTCTTTAATCAATTCCGTGACTATGTCCATGTGTTTATTGACATCTTCTCCCTCTGTTTGCAAACTTTTTTTGACATCGGCTTCCACTTGCTGTTATGAATAAAAACACAGTTGTCATAATTTCAAAGTGCCCAGTACCGCAGAACAACACTGTGAATTTATATTGTAAAAAAATCATGGCTGGCCATGAAGGAAAAGACCATGAATCGGATCAGATAAGAAACTATGTGGATTCCTTAAACATATAACTGAAAATGCCATACATCATTTTTTTCTCTTTATTTTCAGTAAAAATCTTTCAATTTCAACAATGGACCCAAAAAAAAAGGTGTGATTATAAACTTTGAGATATCTGCAACCTTGCTTTCTTGAGACAGAAAGTAGGTTGACTGTTGATGAAACCCTCAGTTGTTTGAAAACCCGTTTTTAATACTAAAAGTAATAACAATAGATGCAATGAAATGAAAATTTTAAAAAAAATTTTATTTAGGTCTTCTTCAGCAGTTACTGTACCTTTTCAATACCCATCAAAAATGCCGGCATGTCTTCATCCAATGAAAATTTTCCACACAAGTGGATTGTCTCGTACACCAACTGCCGTAGGTAGAGATCTGTGCTGATAATGGCCTGAATGAAGAATGTGTCAATGACAAAAATTAAGTAACAATGAAAATCTGAAATATTTAATGATTCCCTTTATGATACAGAAGATAAACCTTTTCAGAACTTCATTTCTGTTATGTTTTTAACAATTCATTGTGAACAATGAACATGAGGTAAGCAATCAGTTCATTGCACAATCAATTTAGGATCTGTAATTCACAAGGCTTGTGGCAAACCTACAAAGTGTATTAACTTTGCAGGCATGGGCGCCCGCAGAAAACTTTCTAGGGGGGCGAAAATCGATTAACTTTCTAGGGGGGGGGGCGAAAATTTTTTAGTAATGTTTTAATGTAGTTTTAATTTACTGTAGCGTATTTGTATGGTGAACGAACTGACAGGACATCAGCTTAGTTACTTTCTCTTTATTTTCTCTTTACTTTAATAAATTTTTTGTCTATTTTTGTCTAAAAATTTTTTATCCAATCAATCCAGGGGGGGGGGGGCAAGTGCCCCACCTTGCCACTGCCTGCGGGCGCCCATGTCAGTGTGACATTTATACAAATGCATTATTACGTCAATGATTGTCTTGATTTCACATTGAAATAGGAAATAGTTTAATATCATGTACTATTTTACGTTTCAAAACCCATAAACATGTCAACCAAAATATTAATTTACAGAATCATTTGGCACTTTAAGAAAGTATTAATAAATTACTGGTATCGTCAACTTTTGATTTTTGGGAGTGAAAAACATGTCTTACAAATAGACAATGTACATAATGATTAAAAAGACTTTCGTATATTTAGTGCCATGGATGCATTATAAATGGCATTTCTTAGGGCAAATAATTTAATTAGCTTATATGATTTGGTGCAGCTACAATTCATATCTCTTGGCACACTATTTAAAGTAAATTTATTTTATCCATCTATTTAACCCAGAATGTACTAATAGACCAGCAGAAAGCACATTTCATTTATTGATCATTCAACCTTTTAATAGTTAAGTAAAGGCCCGTAACTCTAATTATATAGAGTTTCTATGTGAATCTTTTATTGTTATTAGTTATACAAAATTTCGTGATCTTCCAACAAACCAGCTGGTTTACTTTTTTTAAGTAGGCCTACTTTCAGACCATTAAACCTCATCAGAGCATAGCTACGATGATCCGAGTCTTCAGGGGTATACTTAAAAAAACACATGCTCGTCTAAGAGAGCTAATCTGGGATTGAAGTTGAAAGCCTTTAACTTAAATTTAAATATAATTTATATATATATTATTATTGTAATATATATAATATTTATTAATATATGTAACTTGAAGATATGAACAGGAGAGGAGCAGGAGGTGATAATAATCATAATATAATACTGATACAATTTTATTAAAAAAAAAAAAAAGAAAATAATTGCTGATTAGAGAATAATTGCTGATCAGTATTAGGTCCTTGATAGCTACACTTACACTTTACACCCATGGACGATGATTGGCTTGATAAAACTATCAGCTACCATAATTATAATCGTTGAATGTATTTGTGTTAGGATTCAATTAAATTAAGGATAATTTATTATTTTCGAAAACATGTTTTTATTTCTATTTTTCATTTAAAGTTAGTATCTGTTGTTTCTTGTTTTGTATAGACTATAATTAGTATTGTCTCGCTTATACAGCCCTTTATTGCCTTTATTTTAATTTGTCCTCTCTTTTCAAGCCTAAACTTAAACGGATCTTGTTCTACTATATTTATTTATATTTAATTCCTGTTTTAATTTAAAATATTTTGATAATTTGTCACCTACTTGTTTTTAGCAAGAAAAGATAAACACTAGTAAACATTATTGGGTAGGCCAAATTTTTACTAGGATCTGAGGGCTGTCCATAAAGTATAACTGTATTTCATTTTCTGGAGGAGGAGGGGGCTAAAGAAAGTATGTAAGTTTGTGACATGGATTGGGGGGGGGGGGTTAAAGATCTTGTGTGTCCTCACACATTTTGTATTTTTTTAGCATACATTTTACATATAAAAATGAATATTGACAGTGATGTAGAAATTTCTGTTGTAATGGATGTATTCTGACAGGTGATGTCACTTTTACAAATTTAATATTTTAATAGTGAAGTGTGTTTTAGATTAAATTTGTTTAGTTTTCATTTTTTTTAAACAATTTTTTAGCTCAAAAGGTGTGAAATACATACTTAGATTGTGGTGGGGGGTGTTCTGAAATATATGAGTTTTTTTATAGATTACAGGGGGAGAGAGGGGTATAAATTTTCCAAACATAGTGTGGCATACTTTATGGATGGCTCCTGAGTAGCATGAGTCAACAGTTGGTGTAATATTATAATAATGAACTAAACCATTTTCATTTATCAAAATCATCTCTCTATGAAATGTGCAAAATCTTTTACAACAGTTTCTTAAACCCAGCTTGAAACACAATTTTATTTATTTTTATAAATTATGATATATTAATTATAATTATATACATTTTTATCCAAGTTCTCTTGCACTGGGAAATATAGCAGAGGCTGATGTTCTCTTACACAGTAAGGTCATTCACCCCTCCCCGCTCAGGTACTATAATAGATACATTACTTGTGATCCCTCTGTGTAATTCTTGTACTATTACACCCAATATTTTAAATGAGCTTGAACTAAATGATTGAAATTATTTTTAATTTTAGAGCAATATGAGTGCTGTAGTAACTATCCCTGGACAGACAGTCACAGAACTTATACAATACTGGGCTTCAACATCTGACAATGATGCACCAGCGTTTGTCAGTGTTTTCAGTAACGGCAAGAAACAAGTAATTAACCGCAGAGATGTTTATTTACTCTCTAAACGGTTTGCTCATAAGCTAAGAAGTCAAGGTATAGGGAAAGGCAGCATAGTGTGTAATGCTTTGCCAAACTCAATTGAACGTGTTGTGACTGACTTTGGTATAACACTATCGGGGGCTGTTTCCATGAATGGTCAAATATTCCGCTCCGATGGGGAGGATTTCAAGGAATCCATAAGGACAGCCAAATGTTCCTCTGTTATTGTCGATCCAGGCGTACCCAAAGGTGCAAGGCAGTTGCTTTTCAAAGAAGTGCCTTTAGGTTTTGAAGATAATGTTAAGTCTCCAGAGCTTCCAGACCTTAAACAGCTCATCATATGTGAAAGAAATGAGAAAAACCATGAAAAAGACTTTTTAACATCTTTATTAAGGGAAGCTGACATGCCTGAATATGTAGCAGAAGTCTCTCCAGCAGACTTGCTCATTGTCCTCACAACCTCAGGAAGTACCGGCTACTCCAAGCTGGTCAAATTCACTCATGCAAATATTTGCTGCTTTACCAAACAGGTAAAAGCTATAGAACATTTACAACCTGGTGAGCACTTCATCAACTGCGGCCCGTTGGGATGGGCAGGGAGCTACCCACAGTGGTATCTTTCATGTGGAAGCACCCGCTATTTCCTAGACATGCATGATGGACCTATTCCAGATCTTCCAGCAAAGATGTGGGAGATAATAGTTGAAGAAAAAATTGTTTATGGTTTCATTTCTCCAATCTACGCCAACACCATTCTGACCAACAAGGCATTATGGGAAAATTCTAATTGGAGACCCAGGTGTTTGTGCCTAGCTGGTCAGCCTATTAAAAAAGGTGTTGTTGAAATTGTGGGGAGGCTGTGTGATGCAGTGGACATCAACTATGGAATAACAGAATGCAATGTGGTGGCCACTCATAGGATCACAGATCCAAGCACGTATGAGGATAACTGTGCTGGTTATCCTGGCTATAATGTTCAAATAAAAATTGTGGATAAAGATATGCAGGTAATTAATTATTTTACTATTTTTTTAAATATGTGGGAGCTCTAAAACTCAACAATGGGTTAATAAAAATAAGCGTTACAATTATTATTAGCTTAATAAAATTATCAGTTAGAGTTCAGCAGAAAATATTTGTATAATACTGCAATTGTTGAATTACTGAAGTATTAGACAGCCTCAAGCCTTCCAAACCCCATTGCATGATTCCCTCACAAAGTGGCACTTGTAATCATTGAAATATCCTCATCAGCACCAGGCACAGAAACATTGCAAATCCCCTCTACATGCATAGGAGCCAAAGTGATCAATAAATTGATCGTGGGCCCTTAATATATAGAAGCAGAAGAAGAAAAAACCCTTTGACAGTGCGATCTTCATCATTTAATCTAAAACATAGATTATACCTTTTAAATTTTTCTTCTAGTTTTATCCTATTTAAGACTAAATTTTTGTGATTCTTAAATAAAGTGTTTGGGTGCCCTAATTTAGAAACAAGAAGCATTTAAAAACAATATTTTCTTCCATTATTCCCTAGGAAGTTGATCCTGGCAAGACAGGTCAAGTTCTGATTAAGAGCCCAACACTATGTGCAGGTTATCTCAACAATGAACTGGCCAACAATTCATTTTTTAGAGACGATGGTTGGTTTAGTACAGATGATGCAGGCTACTTTGGAAAAGACGGGAAGCTCTATGTTGAAGGACGGCAGTCGGACAGTATTCTAAGGGGCACCTATATTTTGTATCCTGCCTGGCTGGAGAGAAAAATGAAGGAGGTTCCAGATGTGGTTGACATTGTGATGGTGGCTGTGCCTGATCCTTTGCTGCACAATGAGATCTGTGCATGTGTTGTAGTTAATGGAGTTGAAGGAGTGTTTGCTGCTTCATCAGAAAACAATATCCATGATGGCTCATCGGTTCATGGTAAAAGTTTAGGAACTATAAACTGTTGTGGTGGTCCTACCCACAGCAGTTCCTCGAGGAAAGAGTCGGAAGTGTCTCAGAATGAAATGTCGACATCACAGGACACAAGCACTTGTGATAGCCTGAATGGGTTCACAAATGGCAAAGCCAAATCACTTTCACCAAACTTGGTTTTACTAGAAAAACAACTGAGAGACTTTGCTTCCCGCATTGAGTTATTACATGAAAAGGATCCCATGCGTCTGGTACCAAAGTATTACATGTTCATGGACAAGTACCCAATGACAAATACAGGGAAAATTAGTAGGAAACATTTGCGTGAGCTAGCAGCAGATGTGCTGGGCTTCAAATGAAATTGCTTTCAAGTACATTCTTAATCAGCCATAAGCTTTCAAACATTTCATAATTTATTCTCTAAACCCACACCTATCCGATTGACATGACTTTTGATTTATTCATGATAATCAATTCGAATGAGTGTCTCCAACAAAGTATTTCTATTTCTATATTATAGTCTATTTTATTTGATAAATCTTGTTAATTTATTTGTACATTTTAGATTTAGTCTTAAGTATTTTTTAATGTGATCTTAACTAAGTTGTCAGTGCATTCTGAGGTTCATTGGTTTATTTATCTTGAAAGCTCTCCTAACCAGGTTTTACAATACAAATATGGAGTTTTCAAGCATTTTCATTGGTTGGAAACTGATTTTCTATATTTTTTGTGTCAAGGTTTAATAAGAGAATGTAAATATTGTATAGGCTATAGGCTGTTTTTTGTCAAATTAACTATGCAAAATAATTAACCTTTATTTAATTCAAGGAATGCTTGAAATAAAAGGTTAAAAAGACATACAAGATCAAACAACCATTCCATCAAAATGATTTTTGCAGTTTATAAATAATTTAAATGAAATCAATGCAATTTTTATTAAAATTTAAATAAGAAAATAAACCATAATATTTTAAATACGTTATCATAAAATCCTATGAAATATCATTAGTTGATGAATAAAGGTTAGTTAAAGATAAGTTAATGTCTTGTGATAACAAAGAAAAATAGTCATTAATTTGTTCATTTGATTTTGTCTGGTTGTGTTGGTTAAATTGCAATAAAATGTCCAAATTAGAACTTCTTTATCAAAGAAAATCATTTTTTGTGTGATGATCCTGTCATTTCGTATGTGATTATTTATCCATTAAAAAAATGGTCTATTTCATGTTTCTGTATGGAACAAACCTTGATTGTTATTAAATAAATATTTGCTTTCTAGTGTCAATGTTAATTACTTTTAGATCTTCTTAATGAAGATTTGTTTAACTTCTTATATACGGTAATTAATATGTTTCTTTCGTTTGTACAATAAAATAAAGTAACTCACTAACAGTAAGTTTAGGTTTATTTAAAAAATTGCAAAATTTTAAATTTGCAGTCGTGATTTTAGAGCTTGACAAATTTCCAATTATTCAGCATTTAATATTAAAAATGTTTTGAAGATCTTCTTCAGTCAATTAAATCTGAAATTGAAGACAACTACAGAAACACCATCAATATTAGGGCTTACATTTGTTTGTTGTAAAATACAATGTTTGAAACTTCATATAGATAAACTCATGTTTTAATTAAGTCTATTCCACAGATAGTTGATCAACAGACTGTGATTAAAAAAAAGTATGTTTTACTAAATACAATGCAAAGGTGCCTCATTTTTTATGTTGCTGTACTTACTTTACACACTGACGTTAGGAAAAAATTGTATTTGACAAAAGAATGTTTATTGTCATATTATTGTCATAAGTGGAACAAGATATGCTACTCAGATGAGATAAATAATGAATTATATTTTGTGTATTCATGATTAAATTTACACTATTTAAATGTTAAGTTTTTCTTGGTTTGTACAACTGCTTGAAGAGTTGTGTGTTGTGTTTGATCCTCAGTATGAAACAACTTTAAAAAATTTGGCTGAGCAATTAAAGTTGATTTCTGACTATGGATGCAGGCACTCTCCTACTTGGTACCAATCGTCTCAAATTCCAATGAAAATGCATCTGTACTTGGCTGTACCAGAAATTTAAAAAAAGGATGTTTTAGTAGTTAGTCAATGATCAGCTGGATAAGAAAGTAAGCAAGCTGGTTTCAAGAGTATCCGGAAATTTGTTTGAAAGAAATTTCATTGATGGAAATTTGATCAAACAGAAATTTGGTCGAATTTATTTTCAGTTTGCACGTTAAACTTTTGTGTCAAATTTCTTTTTTGAACGCATTATTTTGTTTTACTATCTAGTATAGTGCGATCAAAAAGAAATTTGAAGAAAATTTTATCGTGTGAACTGAAAAAAGATTCAATCAAATTTTTGTTCGATTAAATTTCCGTCTATCAATTTTTCTTCGACGAAATTTCATTCAAAGAAATTTCCGGTATAACAGAAATTACACTTCATGTCAATCATATAAAGGAAAATAGTGAAGCGGTAAATTATTTTTGAACTAAATTTAACAATTGATTCGAGACACTTTCAGTTAAGATTTATTCCCTTATTTTTGTGTCTCAAGAGTCTCGTTAATTAAGATTATATTATTACCTGATGGTGACCCCTGCCGATCTTGCAACCCAGTTGTGACCAACTCCTATGTTTGGCAAATTGATAGTGGCATTAGACCTGTGTTTTGCAATCTGGTTATATATAGGCCCCTGACTGACTCAGACATTTGTCTGGACCTGCAACTGGCAACAATTATGCTCTTTTGCTCAGAGGAAGTTAGTTTGAAATAATTCAGTTAAATTCAAGTTGAATAACATTAAGGAAAAAAAAAGGAAGAACGTAAATAATTGACATATTTTATTAATTGTATGTTACAAGTTATCTACAAGCATGCAGATTTTAAAGTTTCATTTCATCTGTTGAATTATTTTACACATACATTTTTAGGTTCATTAACCAGCAATGTGCAATAAAAGTCTGGGCAAACATTTTATGTTAAAAAAACAACAAAAAAAAACAACCAACTTTTCATGGCAAGAGAAAAGCAACGACACGTCCCATTGTAAAACAATAGAAATTAAATGTCCACATAAAAATTTAAACCTGAAACCAAAAGATTTATGAAAATTGAAATCATCAAGATTTTTAAAGAAAAGGTCTCATCACACCTTGTTGTGAATTTTAGAACAACATTGTTTTGTGACATATTCATTAAATCAACATTGTGACACATTCATTAAAACAACACCTTTGGGATCTTTAATATATGACATCACGTGGGGAGGGGGACGACATTTAAAGCAATGTAACGTTGCATAAAAAACACTGAAGATAGTTTTCAGGGAAATGTAATCTTATTAGTAAATGGTCTCGGGTAAAATGTTTCTGGCCCAGATGTAATAATTCGATTAGGAATTTACCAATTTAAAGGTTTCTATATTAGTATCTTAAGTGTAGTGGTCCGAGTGAATTTCTCTCCAGATCTGCACAGGGGCCATTTTAGATAGGAAACAAAAGCGCAAGAATGAAAACTGCTGTCAATTTGATCAAGAATTAAAGAAAAAAAAAAAATTACTTTTGACAATAATTAATTTTTGTTGGATCTGAACGCAATGGGAGAAAACTAATTAAAGAGATCTGAAACATTAATTTTAAGTTTTGAAATTATGGGGAGATTGGGGGGNACCTGAACTAATACATGATGCGTGTACTTAAGCCAGCAATGGTCAGGGGGGGGTCCTACATTGTTGTGACGATTGGAAAGGGGTAAAAAAATAGGCCAAAATAGTGTGACGTCAATTGTGGATTGTTCCAGAACCATAAATTTAGAATTATGTATACTAAAAACAATTTAGTACTTCTTTATAAATGGACATTTGTTAGTTTTTAAAATGTCAAAAGATCCATTGTGAGAGGTGTTTAAAAATGCCTGTCACAAGGTCATTATGTACTGATAAACCTGAAACTCAAAGGAAAAGAATTGATCAATTCATCATGTACGTTCTTATAGCTACCATTAAAAAACTTGTACAACATGGTAACACAGTACAAGTTGTACAACATGGTAACAGTACAACTTGTATCACATGGTAACACAGTAAAACTTGTACCACATGGTAACACAGTACAACTTGTACAACATGGTACCACAGGACCATATATCCAACAGCAATGATCAAGCATGACAAAGTTAAGCTCATTAAAAATACAATTTCATAAATTAGATTAAGCACTGCTCACAAAGCCCTTCATTTGAACCACTAAAAGTGTCTGTCAGTGCACACCAACTGTTTGCTTGCACACTTGGTATGCAGCAGACCATTTCATCATAAATTTTCACAAGTCCCCATCATCGGTTTCATCACCAGGTTCGTCATACGTGGGCTCCAGAGGTTCACCGGTAATCAAAAGGCCTTTCTCGTACAGCGTAGACGCTATGTTGATCTGTCAATGTAATGGACAACATGTAATCAATGCTATATTGATCTGTCTAAATGGAATTGACAACATGTAAATAATTTTAAACGCTTTCTGACAGTTTTCTTAACACAATATCTTTTTTTTTAAAAATCATGTTAATATTAATACTTGAGTTTGGTTTAGTCAAGAAACAATGTCTCATCAAGAACACTAAGCATATAAAATTCGTGTCTGGTTCTAAAGGATAATTAGTCTTCAAAAATTCCTTTTTGTTAAATTGATATTCACTGGCATAGGCACAATCACATTTTTTTTCCATAAAACAATGGAGCCTTTTTTTATTATCTTGTACCAGACATTGAACAAATATTTAGGTTTTACCTGATCAGCTACATTCTCCAGTGGGAGGTTCTCAATACTTGTGTACTCAGGGTAGGTGTTTATCAAATACTCAACCGCAGGGGCCCACTGCAGAGAAAAAAGGAAACAACTTTAGCGATGTGTATATAAATACAATTTTAAAAAAAAAACAATAAAGGTTTGGGTTAGCAAATGCAAAGTGGTAATTCTAATTCGTGGTATGAGTCTTCAATCCTTAAATATGGCTTATCCATTAACAATTCTGCTCAGATCTCTAAAGATTAATGTTTGTTTACTAGTTTACTCTAGTTTTATGTTTGGTACGAGTCAATTTTTATTGTTTGTTGGTTTTTTTTTCATGCATGGAGGAGGGATGGACAGGATAAAATAGGGGAGGATGAAAGAGAAGGAGATTGTCCAGTATGGGAGTTCATTAATAATTGTTGCGACTGAATATTATTTTTTATTAGCTGTGTGTGTGAGATTATTAATTAGTTAGTGAATTCTCTTCCCACGTTAGACTTCGTGACTATTTTTATGTTTGACTTGATGACTATTTTTATGTTCATTGTGACATATTGTCTACTCTGTTTTGTATCCTACGTTTTATTTGTCTGGCAGTCTTGATAATTAGATATTAAAGTTACATTTATAGTGATAAATGACTTGAGTTGATTCAGTACTAGTACAACGTGTGAATGAACTTGATGAATTAACCTATCTAGTAGAAACAGGAGTTGACAGAGATAACAGAGAAGTAGATGAAGGGGGAGTATTTGAAATAGATAAAAGAAGAGTAGATGAAGAAATGGATGAAAGAGGAGACAGGGGAGAAGAGGAAATTAGATGAAAGAGAGGAGATTAGATGAAAGAGTAGGTGGGATGATAAAGGATATGAAATAAAAGAGGAGTAGATGAGATGAGAGGAAGATGAAAGAGGGGTATATTAAAGAAGAGTAGATGAAGGAGGAGGAGATGAGATAAAAGAAGAGTAAATGAGATAAAGAGGAGTAGATAAGATGCAATAGGAGAAGATGAAAGTGGAGTAAATTAAAGAAGAGTAGATAACGGAGACATAGATCAAAGAGGAGTAGAGTAGATGAAGGAGGGGTAGTTAAACAAGAGATGAAAGTGGGGTTTTTTAGCTTAAAAAAGTCCCTTATTTGTACTGAAACTTTTGTTAAGTTTAAAATCTTATAGATCATTGCTCGGTGTATTGATGTCCTGGTAAATTAGTGACCTAATAAATGAATGTCCTGATGTCATTAGTATTTGAGCGAAGCCCCTCAATAAGTTTATCAACAATTTCTTTGTCTGGTTTATCTTTAGTTATCTGAAATGAACCGTCTCCAAGTAGCTCTTGACTTTAGAACTTGGAGATAAACTCAAGTTTGGCTACAGGATCTCAAGGAACTCTTCACACTTGTGTGAGTCCTTCGTTGGAGTGGTCACGACATTGACACAGTCAAGATGGTACAAGTTGCTTTCTCAGGCTCCTATGATGTGCAACCAGACACATACACACATATGATGTGCACTAAGACACATATGAGGTGCATCCAAACACTTACACACATATGAGGTGCACCCAGACACATACACACATATGAGGTGTATCCAGACACATACACACATATGAGGTGTATCCAGACACATACACACATGATGTGCACCCAGACACATACACACATGATGTGCACCCAGACACATACACACATGATGTGCACCCAGACACATACACACACATGATGTGCACTCAGACACATACACACACATGATGTGCACCCAGACAGATACACACACATGATGTGCACTCAGACAAAAACACACATATGATGTGCACATAGACACAACACATGCTTTGTACAATACATGTGAGTGACACAATGTGACAGTTACACAGATAACATATGATTTGTAAACTTTTGAAAGGTATCTATATAACAGATGGTCCATGCATGCTACATAATATGTCAGACATAAAGTTTATGTTTCTACCTCTGCTGGGATTTCTATAAAGTTTGGCTCAGCACTTCTGTACACTCTGGCATTCTCCACATTGTAGTAGATGCGAACTTTGTCCTCTTCCGTAAGAAGCCTATGGAAGAAAACAACAAACATCTTTAAAATACAGAATCACCAAGCAGATTGTTTTTTGTCTTCACACCCACCCAGAAAACATGCCATATTCTTAAACGAACTCACAGAGAAAGATGACAAAAACATGCCATATTCTTAAATTAACCCACAGAGAAAGATGATATAAAACCTGGCCACAGAGAAAGATGACATAAAACCTGGCCACATAGAAAGGCAACATAAAATCTGGCCACAGAAAAAGATGACATAAAATCTGGCCACAGAAAAGATGACATTAAACCTGGCCACAGAAAAGATGACATTAAACCTAGCCACAGAGAAAGATGACATAAAACCTGGCCACAGAGAAAGATGACCTTAAACCTGGCCAAAGAGAAAGATGACATTAAACCTGGCCACAATATGACAACATTATGAAGGAATTTTTAAAAATAAATATCTCAAAATTCAAAGACTCTTAAAAAAAATTCTGTTGTTAAGAAATTAATCATGTAATGCTAGTAGCTTGGCGAATGGTTGCGCCAGGCACAACATTTAAAAAAAAAAAAAAGAAATTCCTAATAATAAACTTAACAACTGCCCCCCTCCACACCTCCAAACCACAATAGTTTTTCAACACCACGAGCAAATTTAAAGATAGCCATGTCAATGTAAGGTTTCCCAATTATTCTCATCACTAGTAGGGAGAACCAGTTGGAAGTTGTCAGAAGATATGTGGTGAGCAGATTTATAAGACCGGCTGTTGGGATGGGGGGACAATGTGTATGTGACATATAGTAGAGAGAGAGGCGGGGAAGGACAGGGGTGGGGTGAGAAGGCATTGGAGGGTTAGGACAGGAGAGCTTAGGTAGAAACAGCAAGGGAGCGTAAGAGTAAGAGGATGGTAGGTTGGTAAGGAGTAGGGGTTAGTGGTGGACACAGGAATGGTGTGAAGGGTGAGAGGGTAGATGGTAAGATGGGGAGAGTGAGAAGTTGGGTTGCTGCGAGGGGGCAAAGGGCTTGAAGGGCCCCTGGCCACAGTGTAGGAGTGAGGAGCGTTGTGTGTAGGCGGGGCATTGGAGCTTAAGAGAGTAGGGTACCACCAGAGCAGGTTGCCATAAGAGCAGGGGGTTACCAGAGCAGGCTGACTCGGAGAAGGTCCATGGAGAGTTCTGAATGGGGTGACTGTGACACCATGAGTTTACCATGGGTGGAACCAATGCTAGTGACGCCCCTGAGCATAAGGCAAAATAGGCGACTAAGCAAAAATGACGCCTACACGACGAGACATGAGGCTAACTGTCCAACCACTAGTAACCACAATTTAAAAGACAGGTCAGATGCAGTATTGCCAAAGGGATATTATTTCGCTAAAAAATTTGCTTTAACCCTTGATATGCCAGGCCTGTCAACAGTGTTTACTAAGCTGGGCTCCTAGGAGAACCCCTTGGTTTGTTTTGTTTTTTAAAATTCCTCCCTGTTTCTGAAACAATAATTCAATCACTCAATCTTTGTTGTCATGAGATAATTCATCTTTAGTATTCCAAGATAAGATACTCAATAAAATCGATACATTCTTCTTCATAAAAATTTTGCATTTTATCCAAAAGATTTCCTTAAGTATATTTTTATTTTAAACCAATAATATTTTTAATAATACACTTGTGCATTTTTATATCCAATTACATACAATATATTTAAGTTACATATTAAGTCTGCTCTACACTAATAGTGCAGATTAATTATGTGTTGCCATCACACAATCGTAAGCACATGGCATAGTTGTACTTTGTGCAGGTCTCTCTGTGTCTCTTACATTTAATTAAAAAACGATTGCATTTTCATTTAGATTATGCTGGGTTGACATTTTTGTCACATATAATATAAAACGATTGCATCTACTATGATCTAGAGCAGTCCGTTTTATTGACGTTCTTCTGCGACAGTACGGGGGTTTTCTCCTCTTGCTGCTAACCTTGTATAAGTTTAGTTACTTAAGGTTTGTTAAAACAGCGAGGGAAATTACTACAAAAATCGTGATAAAACTATTTGCTATAATTATTGCAGAATCGAAAGAAAAAAAACAGGGGGAAAACACAACACCCCCCCCCCCCCCCCCACATTTACGGGTTAAATATAATTTTTTTATGTATATTATATTGAGCCCTCATTTGGGAAGGTCACCCCAGTTCGTGTGTGTTTTTCCCATAGGCATGGCTTTCTTTTTAAATATATATACATTTTTTTAAAAAAATTAAAGATTAAAAGCTTGTAATGGAGAAGTAAGACTGCCTTTCTGTGCCAGGTGCTGTAAGTAGGTCAGGTCAGGCGTGTCACGCGGTGTGTTGTTAATAAGTTATTAAATATAAAGTCTGAACGTGGGTTGGTTAACAAACTATACCATAACATTGCCCGTTCCGTTACACGGTATCAACGAATTGTGATAATTTCTGCTGATCTGAAAGCAAGTTATAATAAAACACAGAGCTTTACAACCTCGAAGCGCAGCGTAAGTAAAAGTCAATCATTTATGTAGTAGTAGAAGTAGTTGGCAGGCTTGTAAAGTAATGTGATGATTACTACACACGGGGAAGCATAGTATTATAGCAATAGAGTAGAGACTAGAGTAGAGAGGATCATGATAAACTTTGGGCTTAGACTACACTACACAACTATTTACACTTGAAGAGAACATACTTGCGAATTATTTATTGTGGAAGTTCTGGAGGTCGATGGCTTTGCAAATGATGACTAACTTAAATGACATTATATTAATTTTGTAGGAACTAAGTGTAAAAAATAAATTAATTGAGACCTACAACTACAAAGAAATTAAAACAAAAAAAGGGGTGGGGGTGTGTGATTATAACATATGGATGCTTTTAAGTTCACCACACAGGGAACTGTTCCCAGCTACCCAGGGCCCGTGGCAAGCAACCAAAAGATGTATAGATTAATGATTAATATATATTTTGTATGAAAAAGTATGATTTTGGCTTTGGCATCCTCAGAAGATGGAGATCCCAGCCGCCCCAGGTGGATGCTCACTTTGTCATTGTGCCCCCCCCCCCCCAATGAATGACCCTTTCCTCCCCATCATACTAAATTGACTGAATCACCAAGCTATCATAAGCCTAATAACTGAAATCAATATTTGAACTTCCCTCATGGCCCCCATCTTTAAAGGTTGCCATTTGATGGACTAATTCATTCAACCATCTCTCTGTCATTTACAACACCACCATCAAAAAACTGTGTAATAGTGAAAGCACTAATTAAGATTTTTTCATTTTTTTGGAAACATGAGGCTTTAAAAACTATTTACTAACAAGGAGACCTGTTTACCCTCAAACTCTTAAAATCGTACAATATCTTCACAAAATCGTTCAATACATTATCTGCATAGTAAAAAAAAACGAACATACAGGATATATAATGTATACACCTCAAAATCGTACATTGTACGCCAAAATCGTAAGAGTTAACAGGTCTGAACAAGGCAAGAGTCCCTAAAATTAAATCAAGGCAGCATGAACATGTTTCTCTGCCAATGTTTTATATTATTGCTAGTAAAGGTGCTCAACTCACTTAACTATCTAACAAAAATTAAATCAAGACAGAATAAACATGATTTTTGGTCCATGTTTTAGGATATTACAACTAGTAATGGGGCTCAACTCACTCAAATATCTCACAATGCTAACTGCTGAAAGTTTAAAATAATTTTCCTTGCAGAATGTCACAGACAAAAGTTGAGGTTCCCTCTGAGAATCCACTGGGTCCATGTCCAGCTTATGTATTTGGTGACCCAAAAACAAATGAGTCAGCCATCATTGTTATTCAGGTTGGTTAACGGCAATATTTGTTTACATACAAGCTCACCTTATCATCTTTATTTTAAAGAGACTTATTTGAAGATTCACAACACAAGAATATCATGAAAAGCAGTTAAATTGTGTTCATTGCAAAACTGCTTTTGAGTCATAATTCTGCACCCTGAAAACATTGTCATTGCTCATGTAAAAGTATGTGATAAACCATTTACCATTGATAACTTTAGTTATGCTATCTCAGTGCACCGTTTGCTACTGCTGTTTAAAAGTTAAATTGTAATATGTTTCAATTTCATGTAACAGTATTTGGGAATTAACCCAATGTCTATGTGCTCGTGTTTTCCCAGGAATGGTGGGGGGTCAATGAGAACATTAAAGATGTGGCCAAGACAATAGCTGAGAAAACAAACTTTGTGACGGTCGTACCAGATCTCTATAGAGGAAAGGTCGCCCTCGACAGGGAGACAGCAGGTCATTACAGTAAAGACCTGAACTGGGAGGGGGCAGTACAAGATGTGGATGCATGTGCAAGGTTCGTTATAGCTGTATTTAACTACATCTAAATCCTTGAAATTCTCTTTGATTGTGCACTTAAGATACATTCAATATTAACCTTACTTTTTAAGCATTTCCTAACTTCCCTAAAATGAAACTAATGGTTTACATATTTTTGAGCAGGGATCGAAAATAGTTTTATCTTTTAGGAAGATGTTCACAAGTGAAGCGTAATCTGACCAGTTAAGCAGAAAAGAAAATTGCCTTCAAATTAAAATATGCATTTGTCATATAATCTTACTTATTACTTGTTAAATCATGTTCTTAAAAAAAGGAAAATATCACACTTTGACAGATTTCTGAAAGCACAAGGGGTTAAAAAAGTCGGGGCGACCGGCTTCTGTCAAGGAGGGGCCCTGTCCATTGCTGTGGTGACACTTTACAAAAGCGTGGATGCGGCCGCACCATTTTACGGCATCCCACGGCCAGCTAACCTGACCTGTGATTATAAGAACATCACAGTACCCATCCAGTGCCACTTCGGGGAAAAAGATCACGCTGTTGGCTTCTCTTCCCCAGCTGACTATGAAGCCTTTCGTGCCAAGCTCCAGGATTACAAGTCTAATTATGAGTTTTACACCTACGATGCTGGCCATGGATTTGCCAATAAGACAAACCCTGAAAACTTTAATGAGGCTGCATATGAGTTGAGTTTCTCTAGAATGTATGCATTCTTTGAAAATAACCTCAAATAAAAGCAATATTTTGATTTGTTTTATATCTTAATGTTGACTGAATCGTTGAATGCTGTAACTGCCTATTGTTTGTTTGAGATGTCTTGCATATGCATTTAGACGGTTAATTGTTGATATACAAGATTTTTGTTAAAGATATTCATGAATTTACATTTTTAAGAATAAAATCTTAAAATTAAAACATTGTTCTCATGTTCAGTCTATCCAAAATAATTATTTTAATTATTTGTCCACACAAATGAACGCAACCCTTACTAAAATTTGGTACACGGCCTAGCCTAATGGGGCTATTAATATATCAGAATTGGGTAGATTGTATGAAGTTAAATTTTGAGCAGGAAGCTAAAAAAAACACATAAAAAGAGACCTTTTTAATAAAAATGTATACAAAACTCATCACTACTTTTTATCTTAATATAGAAAGTTGCTACTTTAACCTCCCTTCTTTTTCCATTTTCTCGTTCATTTTTAGTAACAATTATTTCCAGAGTTTTTAATTTTTTTCATTCACTTTTAACTCTTTTAGTTCTGAAGAGAATACACATCACCATTGATAGGTAGTTTTTTTTATTAACTAACATTAAAAAGAATATTTGCCAGATCTTACCTTAACACGCCTCGCCTCAGGATCTTGATCACAGTATCCGGCTGTAGTTCAGACACACCTACAACCCTGTTGTATCCAGCATCCCATCTTTCACCTGCACCGTGGACACTGCACATTTTTTCACCTGTAAAAAAAGACCAGTATGTGTTTTAACTTGAAATGAAAACCATTTACATGTGAGAGGCGAGAGACACATGGATGATAGCAGAGTCAACCTTATCAGTCTCTGCTGTTTTTTTAGCCATTGTATAAAATAAAATGTCTTTGGGAAATTGTGGAAAGAGGTCAAGCTGTAGGAAATGTGAAGCATTCGGTAACTGAAAACTTATTTAATTACAAAACAAATACTTGACCAAATACTTCCTTCACAAAAAGGTCAAAATTTGTTTTTGTTTTATCTTCACTTTTTTTGTTAACAAGATAATATTAAGAGTAAGGCAACTTAGCTTTAGAAGAGAATGTCTACTTAACTGGAGAAGACTGGGGGTCCTAGCTGGTATAAGATGGGTATATGTTTTTGGGGCAACATAGTTGGTAGGAGAGGGCATATTTTTTAATAAATTAACCATAAAAAGTACCAATTATACTTTTTAAAATTATTTTTTACAGTAATTTATTAAAATTATTTGGAGCTCGGAGCAGTAAGAAATGTTTTCAGCTCCGGGGAAAAAGACCCTGCTACAGAGTTCCGCTCAAAATCCCAAAGTCTTTCCCTGATACCTGTAAAGTCTTTGCTGAAATAACAGATAAGATAAGATTCTTTTAGGGGAAGGGCAAAGGTGGCTACTTTCCCCAGGGGGGGGGGGGGGGGGGGAAATTTTTTCTTTTTTTTTTAAAAAAAAAAAAATTGTTCATCTTATTATTAAAAATAAACTTTAGTAGGGGTTTGTTATTGGAATATAAAAATATTTCTTTTTGATACTATCTGTATAGTCATGATTATCAACAACTAGCTATAACGGCTGCAATGCGTGAACGTCTCATCTACTTAAGATACTTGACAAAACATGCATTGAAATAAAACCCTTTGTATGATTCCCACAACTGCTTGCCATCTTTTGATCAGAGTCTAAGTGTCGAAATGCCCAGCCCCAACACCTTATCCCATCCCAAAATCCTACAGTAAGGACTGATGGTTATTTTAAGTGAAGGGGTGTGGCTCAATGTTCCCTCTAAGGTTTGTTGGTTTGTGTGCAAGATCATACAGTTGTGTGCAAAGTTTTGCAGCAACAATTTTTTTGTGTGCAAAATTTTACAGCCCACAAACACACACTTGCATGGAAATTTGCTGCGCGGATACTCAAAACTGCTGCGCTGCGTTTGTGAGATAGCTGCGCGGCCGAGCAACTTAAAGGGGATGTTGGTATGGCTGTTTTTTTAATCACCTTTTCTTATTTCCCCCTCACTAGCCGCCCCCACTCCCCTCCGAACCCTAGCTGTAACTCTGTCATCAACACAAGTCACCTTTCAGGTAAGCACAAGACAGGGGATGAACCGAAAGAAAGAGTCACGTGCGTAAACTTTAAGTGTTAGTGTCGGAAATTGTTACAAAAAGTATTATGTATGTTGATGATTTTCCCTCTTACTTTGCTTATTGAAATTTCCATAATTAAAAAAATTCTATAAAAATCGCCAAAGAAATCTATGCTATGTTTACTTCCGTTAGGCTTCTTTATTTTATGTGGGTTTTAAAAAAAAATTACCTTAAAAAAACAATCATAATTTTTTACACTTACACTGTGTGACTCCAATCAATTACAGATTTGGATCACATTACTTCAGCGATGAATAAGATTAGCCCCTTATTATAGATATCTTTTTATTCATAGCTTTACAATATATTTATGAAAATAAGTACCCCAATATTTTAGACAGATTTCTAAACTGGTATGTTTACTAAGCTGTTGAAGATATTTCTTTATATATCACCTCTTAGATGATGTGTGTTTATGTGCTTTAAATGCATGCTTAAACTCATCTGCAAGTGACCAGTAAAACCCACGCTATATATACAAAGGAATAAACAGTTGTATTATATTAACAACTAAAATACCATTCTGGTTATCAGCAGCAATGCTGGACTGAACATAGAGAAGAGTGTCGATCTTCCGAACTAATTGGGATAAAGGGGTGTTTTGCTCACGAGATTTTTTGGATTAGGAGGCGAAATTTTTTTGGTTCGCCCCTGACTGCAAGGTCAAGGTTCACCACTGTAACAGTAACGCTCTGATCTCAGTAAAGAGTTTGCTGACATAACAGAGTAATTCTCAGATCACAGTAACAAGTTGCTGACATTACAAGAGTGGTTACCTTCAGATAAAACTGGAGGCATTGAATCATACATCAGCTGTTTGCCCATTTGATCACAAGCTGAATCTACAGGCAGTGAGTCTAATATTGATGTCACAAGGGTTTGCACCTTTTCAACGAAGGCTTTCCTCTCTGGAATTTCCTAGACATTATAAAAATAAAATTTACATCCCATATTCAATGAGCTTCCAGCTACTACATTAAGAAATATATATTGATACCAGTGAAATATCCAAATGAATTTCGCTAAATAATGCTAAGTTCTTCTGGCTTGATTTGTTATTAAGTTTATTAAAGTTTAGCAATGGATAGCTTTACCTTCTCTGAGTGAACGATGCCCATGTAATTGAGGTAATTCCTTGGCAGGCCTGTTCTAAACTCAACATTCTCCTCCATTGCTATCTCAATGGCAGCAGGGAGCAACTACAGAAAGATAAAATCATGAAAGATCAACATTACTTTTCTTGCTCATTTTATTGTTCACCTTTGTTACTTTATTTAAAAGCAATCAGGATTTCTTTTTAAAATTTTTATATTAATTAGAATGAACTATTAGGAAATTTTAATTACTCACTTTCTGTAACAAATCTCCCCATGTGTTCAGCTGATAGCAAGAAACTGTGATGTGTAAGGAATGTTCATCCGTTGCATTGCCCTGATGGAAGAAACAAAGCCTTTTACAAAGGTTGTAACTACCCTTTATTTCAGCATAAATCCTTTTTGTTTCAGAACTAACATTATATTACTTCAGCGGCACCTCTGCTCTGCAGGCGACTCAATTTCACTTGTGTAAATTTTTCAGCTTTTTTAACAGTTTGTAAGTTTTTTAAAAAGTTTTCTTTGGAGTCAAGGCGCGTGGAATGTGTTTAATCTGATTAGACTGATAATCTTGTATTTTTCATTTTGAGGAACTGCATTTTCGTGGATTCTTTTGACTTTTTTGCCAAAAACCAAGACACATTCATAACCCCCAAATTAGAAGAAAAAAAAATGAGCCATCTAGTAAACAAATAGCAAGATCAAAACAACCATCCAAAGACAAAACGGCTACAGACAAAAGGAGGGTCCTTGATCTTGGAGAGAGAAAAAAGGAGAACTCCATTCAAACAAAACTCCATTCACTCAAGAATTCAACAGTTATTCATACTGCACAATTATTCAACGACAGTCTTGCTACAGACTAATTTTAAGGAGCAAAAAATTCTTCCAAGACTGGAAAAAAATATGTACGATGAATGAAAAACAACAACCTTATTTCCAATTATTTGAATCAATAACAGTAGCTTATCTTAAATCAATTTCTTCTTTCTTTGCACAAACTGAAATCATGTGAACTGCCTTTCCACAAACCTGATGTATTGTGCCTCGAGGAAAGTACAGTAGGTCTCCTGCTTCCAGCACCGTGTCCAGTATTGGCTCACCAACTTCAAACTGGGAAAAGTTTCCTGTGGAGAGAATTTAGTGCAAATGAATTTAATTTCAAGCATAATCATTGTCAGGTGGTACCAGTAAATATTGGAGGAAGAAATTCTGAAGATTTTGGAACTCATCCTGATTTTAAGTCAGCTGAATTAAATCACTTAATTAATCATATTAACTCAGACTATTACTCCAAATGTTTATCAAATGAAATAGTTACAAGGAATAACACACAATTTTTCAACCCATCAAGCAAAATATTAATTTCAAATCACTTAAGAACTAAGATTTCATTTATAAGAAACCAAAATCAGTGTCAAGGGTGAAACAGAAAACATGATAGTGAGAAGCTGAGGGGCAATGAGAAAAGTGAGCTTATTGGCTTACATCTTCTCTGGCCACAAAGAGGAGACACCTACAGATGCTTACTTGTTGGCATGGAAAATGCTTCTGCATTGAATAGCAGAAGTGAAACCAAAGTCCTAATTAACATGAGACCACTGAAATAGCATGTGTCCAGTTACTCTCACTTAATAAAAGGAGTAAAACAGAGTATGGTTAAACCTGAAAAATTAAACGCAACAAGACAGCGAACGTGTCGGCAGAAAGCCTTCGTCAGCGAACAAAACAACAGAAAAAACGTTATAAAAATAAGAAATAGCACTTAGCTGGTAAGTAGTATCTGTGGGCAGCAAATGAAGTGTGGCAGAAGGACCTTCTGCCACACTTCATTTGCTGCCCACAGATACTACTTACCAGCTAAGTGCTATTTCTTATTTTTATAACGTTTTTTCTGTTGTTTTGTTCGCTGACGAAGGCTTTCTGCCGACACGTTCGCTGTCTTGTTGCGTTTAATTTTTCAGGTTTAACCATACTCTGTTTTACTCATTTTATTTTGTACTAACCTGATTGCAGTCTCTCCCCTTATTACCCCTACTCTCACTTAAATAGTATGCCAATTACTATTAAACAATTAATGATTAATCAAATTTTGACAAGTACTGAAATAAAACAAACATGTTTTTTCCCCCCTGAAACTATAAGCATGTTGTCCACAAAACATCAAGTGCTACAGAAGGAAGGTTTCCAATAAGCATGTTGTTCACAACATATCAAGTGCTACAGAAGGAAGGTTTCTAATAAGCATGTTGTCCACAACACATCAAGTGCTACAGAAGGAAGGGTTCCAATAACAAATTTATTGAACAGACCAAAGACATTTATTTAATTTTGAAACTACTTATGTTACAACTGATTACGTTGAAATTTATGTATTAATGTGATCTGAATATATTTACAAGTTTCTCACCACTAGAAAATCTTGGAAGAACTTCCTCATCATTTCTGAAACAAATTTATCAAGATTTTATAAAGCTAACAGACTGCAAAAATAAAAATGCAATTATTCACTAAGCATCAAATTTAATATTGATTTAATTAAGATGACATTTTGACAAGTGCATCTGAAACAAGACAGTGAATAGAAAGAGTAACTGTTCAAAACTTCCTCACCTTGGGCTGTACAGCCTCCAATGTTTTTTGCCTTCCAGCTGAAGAATAAATGCTTCTATGTCATCAAAATGTGGTGCAAACCCTTGGGTACCAGGTGGAGTCAAGTAACTGAAATCAACAAAAAAGTATGAGATTTTCAATAAATGACATTTTGGTAGTGGCAGACTTTTCTCCTCTTATTTTCATAAGTTTATCATAATTTATCACGCAGATCTTTTCTTCATCTTCTATATTTTGAGGGCCCACGATCAATGAATTGATCATTCTGGCTCCCCTTTTAATTTCTGTCCCCGTGTCAATAAATAACCAGATAATTAATTCTTATATGTGTTTAAAAAAGGTTCATGTGACAAAACTGAAATTTTTTAGTGTCCATTCACTCACATATTGGCTCCAACACAGCAACCAAAGTATTCTTGAAGCACAGAAAGAACCTTCCAAACATTTCTGCTGTATGATTGTGGGTTGAGCAGTCTCAATGAACAGCCAGCCTGAAAAAAAAAAACACATACCAGAAAACATGATACATTTAACAGTCCAACAATTTTTACTATTTTAAGCTGTGAAATAATTGTAAAAGAATCACATCACATTTATAGAAAGTTAATTTCATAACAGAACTATTACCATTAGATTATCACAAGCCACCTTTAATAAAAAAAATAAACATCTGAAATAGCTTTTCTACCGCCTCACCTGATACATGTCCCATACCACAGGTGCATGAGCTCTCCCACTTTGATTGTGAGTTTCCCTTTTATCATCAATAAAAGAAGTGGCATCAAGATTTACACCCCACTGAATGTTATCCTGAAAGTAGTTACAAAATTTATCCTTAAAGTAGTTACAAAATCATTTAATTTAATTCTTAAACAGTATGGTTCAGATCAGATGTTATTTGTGTTTGAGGGTCGAGGGGGCAGGAGGATTCTTATATAAATATAACTCTTCAGTGAATAAAAGTTCATTAAGAATTTGTTCTTACTTGTCTCAATATTTTGTCAAACTCAGCAGTAGAAAACCAGCCTTTGTTGTAGTCTGGAGTGTGGCGCTTTACTAGCAATGGTTTCTTTTCCCACAATTCCCTGAAAGTAATAAATAAAATTGTAATAATAATTATTTCATTAAAAGTTGCATTATCATCTAGATGTGGAAGTAAGTTTTTTGTAATTGTTCCTCTCTGTAACTTTCTTTCCTTCACACCGCACTAATTCTATTTGCATTCTAATTTCTAGAAAATTAGCTTTTATTTAGTCCATGATAAGAATTACAACAGTGAAAGAAAATAACTAGGGAACTTAGCTATTTTTGTTTGTTTCATGAAGTTATAACCCTATATAGCACCTACGAGAAGAATCTCTCAGTTGTAACTGGGTGGATCATACATTCAAAGAGTTTGCTGGCTTCAGAAACACTGTCATACATGTAAGGCAACTCCACTGGATTGGAACCCTAAAAATATGTCAGATAATTTTTTATTTTTAACTCTTCAGTAAATTTACTATTCTCTTGTGATAACAGTTTTTAAAAAAATGTCCACAAAAATGATTATAAATCACTAAGCTGGATAATTTCTTGATAATAAAGGGAGAGGGAGATTACAATCGGGTTTAGGTAGAAGGAAATATGTGGAACAAGGTATGGTAAAACCAAAAAAAAACGATGCAACAAAACAACGATTGAGTCAGCTAGAAGCATTCTTCAGCAAACAAAGACAAACACAAACATAAAAATTAAACTTAGCTGAAATGTTGTATCTGAGAGAACAGCGATGCATTGTGTGAACTTAGAAGTTAATAATTTTCTTTAAGTTTGCATAATATAACAGCATCATGGTTTCTGATTTCTAATGCCAAATTTCAGGTTCTATTTTTTTACAACAAATTTTCTGTGGCTCATCTCTGTGACAAGATATAACAGTACCAGTACCAATAAGCAAGTTTTAGCAAGCCTACATTTACACCTGACAATAAAAAACTTAATGATTACATCTATTGTACGAACTCACAAGATTACATTTGTATTACAAAGTACAAACCTCTACGTTTCTTAAAGCATCTCTTTCAGTTCTTCGTTTCTTTTTTCCACTGCTGGACATCCCAGCTTCTTTTCGTTTCTTGCCCCTTCTTTCTCGTTTCTTACTCTCTGGACTTTTGTAATCTCCATTTATGTTGTCAGAAGAACTCAACAGTAACTGCGGGGACTCCTGTTCCAGATAAGTTCTGGAAGTTTGTTTAGAAACCGTAGGAGTGGCTTTCCTTTCCTTGGTTATTTTTTCTGTCAAAACGTTTGTCTGCTGAGGGGTGCCTTTAGTTTGCTTTGGTGACTTCTCTTGGGGTACTTTATTTGGAGTGCTCTTAGCTATCTTAGGAGAGTTTGGCACGGTTGTTGTGAGTTTGGTGATATCATCAGCTTCCCCTCTTGGACTTTTTCTTGAAACTGGTGTTATTTCTAATTTAGAGACTTGGTTTGTGGCTTGAAACATGTAAACAGAGATGATTAAATAACACAAACATAAATATGACATTTTTAAAAGAAAATATAATAAAGAAAATATCACATGAAAAGATAAAGGATTTTATCTGTTTGATAAATACAAATGATTTCCATTCAATAAAAAATGAAAGTAAGTAAACAAAAAGTTACACATTTATTATTTATACAGAAAATATCATAAAAATGTTTTCATGATTCAAGTTATCTAATAAAAATTTAAAAAACATTACAAAACTAAGCAATAATTACAAGACTTACAATCTAGGAGTTGCTTTCTAGCTGTAGGCTGAAGATCTTCTGTGCTTCCCTTTTTAGGTCCAACTAAAGAGATTTTTGCCAAACCAGGAAATGGACTATCATGGTTCAAAGATGTTAGAGATGAAGGCCGGTTCTTCTTATTAGAAAAACGCATACTTTCTCTGATATTTCCACTTCTCAAAGCATTCTAGAGGTTAAGAAGATTTTTTTAAAATTTAAAATAAATTAAATCTTATCCAGTCAAAAATTGTAATTATAAATTAAAGAAATGCTGTATTTATGCAGAAATGTTTATTTTAAACTAGGAATGCACTAATAATGGTAGATAATTGGCTCATTTAAAGATTAGTTGTATGATCCTACAGAAGAAACTGATTTATTTGTCTCATTTTAATTAAAATTATATTTACATGATACAAGTATTTGGAATTTTATAAAACACCTCTTTTCTGAATTCCAGTAATAACGTTTTTCAAATTGAATAGTAAATATGTGCCCAATTATTTTATCAACTATGGGGAAGTGGGAGGGAATGTAAAGTAATTAAAATATGAAGTTTGGATTGTTTTGTTCTAAGTATCTAAGTAACATGAAAGAAGGAAGAGCTTTAGGTTTCACTAGATTTTTAATAATAGCATCAGCTATAATACCAAGTTACAGTATACACCACCAAAATTCTGCTACTTTTTATAATTATAATTTAAATAGGCTAACCTTCATTATGCCAGTGAAACCATTCTAAATTTTATATACCGTCAGTTGGGCCTGATAATTGGGGTCCATATATATGACAATGTGAAAGTCAATAATTTGCATTTAGACATTAAATAAAGCCGATCAGCATATTGGCACATCCCTATTATAAACAGCATCTATATTCTTCACAGCAGTATAGTATAGTTATCTAAAAGCTTACTTAATTTAAATGGTTATAGCAGTGGTATCTGATCCTTTGTTATATCTGCTGAATCTTCTCAGGTATGTAAAAAGCTAAGGGCATAAAAAGCCCCACAGGACTTATCAATTTGATACATACAAAGGCCTAACCCTAGGGAAAAAGAGGAACATAGTAAAGAAAAAGAGGAGAGGAGCAGAGATAAAGATGACCAGCATAAAGAATAAAAATTATACACATTCTTACAAGAAACCTCTTTCCCCTTGATCCACTACCATGGCCCGTATCCTTCTGCTTCTCACTTCTTTCCATTGACTGTGAACTTTGGGCCCTCCTGAGAGGTATCATGCTTTTATCAGCAACTGCTTTCGGTGGCCTGCTGACAACATGTTCCTCCTTTGTCTAGAACAATAATTTTTTAAAAATTATTCAAACATCTTAGATGGTTTACTCTTCATCTGAATCCTGATATTAAAGAAAACCATGTTATTTTAACCAGAAACTAGAAGATTTGTATTAAATAATAATGGGGCTTATATACCATTATTAGTCAATGTTAGTTGTTTTTTTTACATTTTACAGTAAAGTCTACACATATCAATTTACCCATCACCACACAGGCCTATCTAAATACTTAAGGATTTCCTCTACATACCTTCTGTTTTGCATTGTTAAAAACTGTGAAAGCTGATACTTTTTTCATGATTCCCTTTTAATTTAACTTTATTCACTTCAGCTGAAATGAAAAATCTGGGAAGGCAGAAAGTTTGTTAGAATGTGTGTAAAAGTACAGTTACATACTAAAATAAGTATACTCAATGTCATAATGTCAACAAAAATAAGCAACAGTATATACTACTGATAGTCTGCTACTTTATATAATTATAATTTAAATAGACTAAACTTCACTACACTTGTGAAACCATTCTCACATTTCTATACTGTTAGGTGCGCCAGATAATTGGGGTCCATATTACTGGATCCTGTTTATGCGGGGTTTTAGAATATTTAAAAAAAAAAAAAGTATGGATAATTAGTTGTTTTTTTTAAAACCGGTATGGAGAAATCTTGTGTTTATTAGGAGAAACAGAAATGAACTCTAACCAATCATGATAATTGGCTGTCGGTACTTTGATGAAATTTTTAAAACATTTCTAAAAATATAAATGCTGTACTGTACAGTTGAATAGAGCCAAATGAATGGTTTACAAAGAGATATCTCCAACGTGCCGCTTCGCGGCCCAATACCGGGCTTAGGGGCGTGCCTTGGGGAGGGCATAAAGAACACTAGCTCAACGGCCCGCTGACGTCAGCCATTTCTGAATATGAAATTTCAGAATGGTTTACAAATCACAAAGAGCAACTTTTTAGCTCAAGTGGTTCAAAGGTTATAAAAATATATAACTCAAAAACTCATATAAACATTAATTGTAATAATAATAAGGCCTATTTATCCCACTCCCCAAACCAATACCTCAAAATAAAACCATCAGATCATATTAGAAATATGTATTGGTGCTATTAAATTATGTTATTTTGTTTTAAAATTAACTTATTATTTTTTAATATAATATGCATAATTTCCAGGAGAAATCAAGATATTTACTCCAAAAATGACCATTATCGATAATAGGTAATTTTGAAACACATGTGACTAAAATTTCCAGATAACTTTCTTATCAAACTGTTGGGCCTAACCTAACAAATTTTGGATATGTTGTAATGTATGCAATTATCTCTGTTGTCCTTTTCATTTAAGACAGTGGTTCTCAACCTTCATAAAACCGCGACCCCTTGATAGAATTCCTCAAGTTGTGGCGACCCCCAAACACAAAATTATTTTAGTTGCTTCTTCATAACTGTAGAGTATATATGTTTTCCAATGGTCTTCCTCAACCCCTGTGAAAATGTCATTTGACCCCCAAAGGGATCGTGACCAACAGGTTGAGAAGTGCTGATTTAAGAGATATATATTTTCCAACATAAAAATATGAATGGGTTAAGTTAACATTATTTTACCTTCAATTTTCAAATTCTTTTTAGAGCTTAAGTTTCTAATGATAAAACAATATGTCTACTCTAAAACATGGGTGGAAATAGAATGTGCATGCTGGTCCATAATTGGCAAAAAAAATCCTAAACAACAAAACTCTCTGTAAATTAAAAAGTGGAATTAGCCATTTTGATAATGAAGTCACAATACCTGGTTTTCTGCATTTCCCGGGCGACACCAAAGTGCCCAGACCTAATTTTCAAATTTTAATTAAAAAATGAATGGACATTTTCAGTATAAATTTATTTCTGTATAGATCGTTTAATTTATGATGCAAATAATACTATACTCAGTGAAGAAAGGGAAAGTTATACTATGACTACACTCTATACATTTGGCAATCCTCAGAACAGCGGTCCCAAATGTCAAATAGAATTCTTTTTGTTAGAAAGTGCCTGGCTACCAGCCTTAAAGCCGTCGATAATCGGTGACGTAATTGTTTACTTATAATTTTGTTGGCAGACTATTTATTGCTTGTAATAATATAAAATGAACAATAAAATGGTTCTAATTTCAGGAAACATTCTGTAAATTGCAAACTTATGACACAATGCGATTGTATCACTGTGTAAGTGTATGACAGCATGCTTTGACTTTGACTTGCAGGACACCGTCTAATACGAAACACCAATTAGACAGAGATAACTTTTGTTTCTCTCTTGCATTTTTCTTTATTCTTCTCTTTTTTCTTTCAAGAGATGTTCAAGAGGCTGATGAAGCCTGCGATCTTCAAAAAAGGATTAAATTTAAATAGGGCATTTTAGACATAAAGAATTACGACACCAATTATCGGCGGCTATTAGACTTAGACTGGTAGGTGCATGTTCCAACTTAAAGTATATTATTAAGGCAGTAAAAATAAACCAATGGCATAGTTGAATAAAGTTAATTTTTTTAAGAATTATTTTATAACACCAAAATCATATTTTTAGCTGCTGTAGTTTTAAAGTTATGAATTTTTACAGTACGACTTAATTTGTCCTTTTTAAACCATTTTCTGGTACCCAATTCCGCTGTTCGCGTCACGAGCTATATAACTCTTGTTTTAATGATAATTTTATTTTCAGAACTAATGCTGTATTTAAGAAATAAGTTTAATAATGTTAACAATTATAGATAAATTGTAGCTTATCTAACTATGCACTATTTATATCAGTAAATTTAATATAATGTATTAATATATGGCTTTTCTGTTTACCAAATCTTCAGCGTCCATTATACCGGTATATGCTATATAGTCTATATAAGGCAACACACCCCCTAAAATGTTGTTTGGTATCTACTTATTTTGAACTTTCAACTTTGACACATGACTAATTAACTAAAGCTTTCCCTGACCAATGGTGTTAATAGTTTTTGCACACGGCAAACTCTTATGAATGAAACTTGAGTTAGTCGGTAGTACTACGGCATAGCATTATGCAAATGGTTGTGAATGGTTTTCTATGACTTTTTGCACACGGTCAATTCTGATCGCTAATAATATGGACTCTACCGGGTTTTTAAAGCTCCAATTTAAAAATTCTAGTTTAAATGTCTTCAAAATGCATTCTGAAACACAAGTTATCAAATATTTTGATGTATATAATTAATATATAGAGTATAGAGATAATAATGAATATTTCCTAAGCTAAGTATCAGCGTTTTCCGACAATTAAAAGGGGGCGGGATCACTAATACAAAATGGCCTGTGCGACCTTTGCATAGTGAGGTCAACGTTGCGGAGAGTTGTGAAAATGTTTCACGAGCTATCTCAATGAAATTTTGCACACGTGTACTTCAACAAATTATGCAGGCCTACTTTTAATATGAAAGTGAAAGGCCTACTTTGAATATTTAAACCAAATTTTTTAATGCGAAGATGCCTTATATTGACATACGATATTCCTTACTTAACGTTGATATAAAGAAAAAATTAACTAAATGGGAATGTAGTTCAACATTTCTCCTACCGTCAATGGGCCGAGTCAGACCTTAATTATGGGCTAATTTATTCAAATTACATGCACATGAAAAAATTAAAAACCCGGGATTCTATTGCGCCGACGCCCATTTCCGATAAAAATTTACTATGAGTGTCCCTTGCTTCGGCGGGGTACCTAACTACATCTTTACACTAGATACTTCGGTAAGTCAAGGGAGACTACTACTTTTTGTGTATGGGAATTCGCAATCGGCGCCAAAAAATCTGAGTTTTTAATTTTCCGATGTGTGTGTCTATTTATTATTAAATTAGTACTTTCCATATATATTTGAGTTCCGTTTTCGGCCTTATAATTAGGTAGACATCTTGGCCTACATTTTAATCAATTTCTTTTTCATTTACAATCAGTCAGCTTTGAGAAAATCCTTGGTAAATATAAGGCAACTTTCATCATTAAAATTAAGTCGAAGGAAAAAATTTGTCACTACCAAATTTTTTTTGCATCTGGGGAATCTATTGATCTACATGTATGCCAATTTTCACAGCGATAAGTGTCTTACGAGAGACGCTATGTTTCTACGCGTTCGCAGCAGGTCATGCAGCTCGCTCAACCTAATTTCGCCATGGGGTGGGCCACGCCCCCTTTGTAATGGCGGAAGTTGCCGATACTTAGGAAATATTAATTTATTACCACTATCTACATCAAAATAATTGATAACTTGTGTTTCAGAATGCATTTTGAAGACATTTAAACTGGAATGTTTTAATTTGAGCTTTAACAACCCGGTAGAATCCATATTATAAATGATCAAAATTTACCGTGTGCAACACGTTGTCATTGGCAACCATTCACAGCCACTTGCATAACGGCTGTATCGTAGTACTACCTCAGAGTTTCATTCATAAGAGTTTGCCGTGTGCAAAAACTACTATACCATTGGTCAGGGAAAGCTTTAATTAATTATTCATGTGCCAAAGTTGAAAGTTTAAACTAAGTCGACCCTAAACAGTATTTTAGTGATAAGGCGATGCGTTGCCTTATATAAAGTATATAGTCATTGCGCATGACGCGATCAGCGGAATGAGGTCACAAGATGTGGAGGTTTCGTCCATAGTAAAAAATACCAAACGAACTCACACTTTAAAAATTCATAGCTCAAAAAGTACTTAAGCTAAAAAGTTGATTCTGGTTTCATTTTTTTATTTGAAATTAGCTCTAACTAACTGTGCTATTAAAAAAATTATTTGAATTTTTTTAAATTTTGTATTCAAGTGCCTATTTACACCATGCCCATGTCACCCGATTTTATTCAAATTCTACAAGTACAAGTAGTCTACAACGGTCTCGTCTGCCCTTGTCTTCCTAAAATAACTAATAACTTTTTTTAGTAGCTAGGCCAAAATATATTTGATCAAGATGATGACAAAAGACAATACTTTGTGTAAGCATCGATAGATGTGTAAATTAAGAAAGTAAACAATCAACCTCACCGTCAAATAATCATGTGTTGAACTTTCAAATCAAAGTGTTCCGCCTTAAATTTAAGTTGATCGATTATTGTGAAGACAGTTTTTCAATTAGTATATGCTTACAAAAAAAGTCTACTGGAAATTTATTTAAAAAAAATAATAAAATGAAACAATCCCTAAAAACTGAAAATAAATTAAATTTGTTTGTATAAATCCTTAATAAATGTAATATCTAGCAATCCCAATGGGGTGTTAGGGCTGAAAATGTGACAAAACAGGCAATCAAGTAACGCACTTTATTAGAATCCCAATTTAGTGCCCCCCCCCCCCCCCCCCCCCCCCGCCCCCCCACCGCCCGCCCCCTCCCCCCCCCCCCCCCCGCAAGGCTGGCAACCGCACGTTTTCTTCACGCCCCTGAACTTTATATTCTAATGAGACTAATGACCCACGCGCTTTTACACCGCAGATATATTTCACCAACTATTTCAGAAAAACAAAGACAATATTACGCACTAAACGCATGTGCGATATTAGGTTTTTGAGAATCTTATTTCTTCTTCTTCTTCTACATTCTATATCTTAGGTATTGATGATTCAGAGGGGATTTGCGATGTTTCTGTGTCTGGTACCGAAGAGGATGTTTCACTGGTTGCAAGGGCTACTCAGAAAGGGTACCAGGAACTGGGGTTCGGAAGGCAGTTACCGGGAATTGTATTTGCTGAAATCAGTGGCATCATATTTCTTTCATCTCCTCATTGAAAAACAGGAAACACTCATTTTGGGGGGTTGAAGTTGAGAGGTGGAGCTGAAAATTGAAAGAATGTGTTGTCATCGGCAACGAGTCTATGTGCCAAGTTTCCGCTCGACAGGCCGATAGGAAGTGGGTCAATTAGCCGTCCAAATATGTTGCCATACACCAGTCAGAAAGAAACACACAAACAAAAGCAAAGTTAATATGACGGATTTTTTTTTTTTTAATAAGAGAAACTATTGTAAATAAACAAAAGAAAACTAAATGTATTTTTCTAGACAAAAAATATCAAATTATCCAAATATATACATTATAAGTATAAGGGGGCGTCCATTAAGTATGTCAAAAAAATAGGGGGTTTGAAAATGTTTGACAACTGTCGACAAGGGGGAGGGGGGTAGATTAATTGACGCCAACAGTCATGTTTTCTCTATAAAAATGCTAATCTTAAAAATTGACTGCTTATTACTTTAAAAAAAAAAAGTTTAATGAGTGTAAATGGTTATATAATTTTTTCGCTTTTAACAGTAGCCCATTAGATTTATTTAATGTGTGTCTGTCTGTGCACTGCAGATGGCTGGTCAGTGCAACAGAAGTCATGTTGAAATAGCATGTTCAACAACACCAACAATGCACTTTTGAGCATAAGACATTACCACTCCTCAACAAAAAAAAGGATTTGACCAATGCGAGTAGCTGCCAGGAGACAGAGAGAATGTATGGCCATTATTGCTCACACTGACCATGCTTCTTGTTGTTAGTGCTGAATGGTTAGATGAGGATGATATAGACTTGTCTGGTATATCAGTTCCGCAAGATGAAAATGATAAATCAGCTACTAATGCCCATTGTTACGATAGAGCAACACCTAGTTACTTCGTGGGAAGATGATTAGCAGCTAGAAACTATACTTCAATTGTCAGCTATACTTACAATAATCTTATTTACACCTCCACCAACAATGATATTTAGTCTTTAACAACATTTTAATTGATTCTGCATTATGAAATTTAAGTGAAAAAACTTTTTAACTTGTTGACTAACAAGCTAAAGATGCATAACATGTTTTCCCTAGAATTTAATGTGTCATCTAAATAGATCAGCACGAAGTAAAATGTATTTATATATTTATTTAAAGTATAGTATAATTCATTTCTTTTTTTCTTTTAATTTTTTGGTGGTGAATAAAATCTTGACTTAATTACTTAGGGAGGTCATTGAAAGTTGCTTTGGGGGGAGGGGGTAGATAATAAATGCGTAAAAATTGATGACGTAATTAATGGAGGCCCCCTTACTATAGGATGGTTTTACACACGGATGGCGATTGCTGAGCCTACCAGCCGGGCACAATCCCCCCCCCCCCACTTATGCTACG